AAAATATTTCTATTATTAGAATTAATAATTATAATACTAAGTTTATAAATATTTTCTAGAAAACTATTTTTAAGAAGTTAAAAACTATTATAATAATTTCGATTATTTATTACTCTTAAATAAATAAATAATCGAAAAAAATAAATTAGATTATTAAGATTATTTTATAATTATATCTTATTACTAATATAAGTTATTAATTAAATATTTTTTTATTTTTTTAAATATATCTTAATAATTTAATTATATTAATGAAATTTATATTAAATAAAATTATCTATAGATTTTAGATAAGAGATACTCTAAGACTACTTATAGATTTATCGCTAGAAAATCTTAATTAATTATATTTTATTAAATAAAAAAAAATTAATAATATTATTACTTTTATTAATATTATAATAAAAACTCGTTATAATAATAATTATAAAGCTATTAATCTTTATAAAAAATTATTAATTTATCTAAGATTATATTATAGCTACTTTATTTTTAATATTAATTTTAAACTTTTTACTTAGAGAGTTAGATTATTTAAAATATTAAAGAAAATTAAAAATTTTACTTATCGATTAAATCTTTTAGATATTATATATATTTATTTTATAATATTTATAATCTAATTAAAATCTACTTTTAATTAATTTAAAGACTTTTATTATAAAAAATTATATCTATTATAACTAATAAAAAAAGAAGAGAAAAATTAAATAAATCTAGATTTTATTATTAGATTTCTATTATTTAAGATTAAGAAACTAAGTAATAGATAAAAATTTAAAAGAAATATTAAGTATCTAATATATTAGAAGTATTAGAACTAGTATAGATGTAATATTAGTATAAATAAGATAGAACTAGAATAATAAGACTATTAAATTATATATATAGAAAGAAGGCATAATATAGTAGGAGATACCTTCTATCAAGGCTCGCTAGCCATAAGACTAAGTGATATATCAAGGATACGCTCATAATATTACCCCCTCCTCTTAAAGAGCCATAGCCTCTATAGCTGATAGACCGAAGGTACAGGCCCATTATTTACCTTATATCTTCAAATATCTATAGTCCGTATAGGCCTTAATTAAAGAGAATTGAGATTCTGGAGATATAGCTATATCTTATCTATATATTAATAAAATTCTTTAAATCCTTCTCCCATTTAGTCTACTTATTATAGGTCTTGAAAAGAATTAAATAATTTCATTATATATATATATATTATACTCGCTAAAAATCTATAAAAATAAAGAACTTTTAATATTAGTATATTAGATTAAATTAGTATCTTTCTTCGACGACGACGGCGATAGTAATATTATATTTCGGAGATTCCGCTAGCGCGTTGTCGATAGCACTTTATTATAGCGTTATAAAGCTCTTAATTTAATAAGAATCTATAAAGAATTAAATAAATAATAATTAAAAAAGAATTTATTATATAATGGCCGCCTAATATAGTAAAGAAGAAATTAATAAAATTATATAATCTAATTAGTCGATATCTCCCGAATCGAATTAAGCTATAAATATTAAAACTCTAATTTAATATTAAGTAAGTTTCTTTATAAGATATTATATAATCGATATCGATAGAGACTATTAACGGTAATAATAAGATTCATAAATAACGTATTATAGTTTCGAAAGTTCTTTAGATATATAATAATAAGGGGAGCCTACTTAATAAGTCTAGTATAAGACTATTAATAAGCAATATAGATCTAAAGAATCGATTTTTTAATATAAAAAAAGGAGGCTATTCTAATATCGAATAGTTTTAATTTATCTAAAAATACGATATTTGAAGTATTATCGGGCTATATATTAATCTTAACTATATTTTATATAATCTAATCGTAGATCTTATATATCGCGATATCTATTGTTTATATTCCTCTAAATTAAAGCGAGGAATAATAGTATATTTATTACGAGGTTTTATTATATCTTTAAGTCTTATCTTAATATATTATTTAATAAATACCTTTAACTTCTTATCGATAAGTTTCTAGACTTTCTCTTAATTATTAAGATTTAATTATATAAAAAACGTCTTTAGTCGTAATTAAGTTTAATTCCCTTCGTATATAAGATCTCTATTTTTTTTAGAAAAGTTCAACTTACTAATTAATTCGAATATTATATATTTATCGTCATCTATTAAACGCTTAATCTTATATTTAGAATACTTTATAAATTATCTATAGAATTTAAAAAATAGTTAATTATATTATCTCTTTATTATATAATAGATTTAATAATATATATCTTTAATAATAAATAATAATATTTCGTATATATTATTTAAATGATTAAGAAGATTATTAACTAAAGAGTAGAAGCTATAACGTTATCTAGCAAATATATATTAAATAATCTTATCTTTAAGTCTTATTATAATATATATAATTTTAAAAGTATTAATAAAAAAATAATTATTATTATAAGTAAGCTTATCTTAAATTCTTATTTTCTAATTATTAAATAATATTAAATTAGTATTTATAAAGATAGATAAATCTAATAGCCTTAGACTAAGTGGCTATCTAATTTATAGTTATCAATTTACTCTAAATACCTCGAAATCTCGTAATATAAGTGATAATAAAGACGAGAGTAAAAGGGTAGAGATACCCGCCGAGTTTTAGCCCTACGTCTCCTCTTACTATCCTAATACCTTCTCTTAATTAATATAGAATAAAGAAAGAAGCGAAGCGGAGATATTAAACGATATTCTATAATATCGCTAATAAAGGTTCTTAGTAGATAGAGAACGCTACACCCATAGCATATAAAGTTATAGCGAATTTAAAGACGAATATCTTCTATATAAATCGTTATATATAAAGTAAGACTAGTTATAATATATAAATAATTAATAATATAAAGATATATATCTTAATATTAATATAAATAGATTTAAGTAAAAATTTAAGAAATTTATAATATATTAAATATAGATAAAAACGAAGTAAAGAGATCTCTAAAATTTCGATATTATAAAGATAGTAATAACTCGAGAAATATAATAGATCTCTATATTAAGAGTGTAACGTCTAAAATAATATTATTTCTTTATAAAAATCTATAACACTCGTTTCTTAATTAATTAGATCGTTATAAATATAATAAATACTTTAAATAGTATCTTTTCGAATAAAAGGAAGTTCGTCGAGAGTGTATTAGTCGATAATAGACTTTTTATAAGAAATAAAGCGAAGAAGAATTTCTTATATTCGATATAGAGAACTCATTTTTTAATAGTTTAGACTATTATTAATAATATAGATTATTTAATATAAGTTCTTTTAAATAATATATATAAAAGTTTCTATATAGTAGAAATACCCAGCGTTTTCTTTATTAAGCTCGATCGCTTACTTTAAGTAGAAAGTGAAAAAACCTATCAATTCTCTTCGTCGAGGGGTATACGAAGAAATCTTATTATAATATTAGAACTAGCATAGATATAATATTAATATAAGTAAGATAGAACTAGAATAATAAGACTATCGAATTATATATATAGAAAGAAGGTATAATATAGTAGGAGATGTCTTCTATTAAGGCCCGCTAGCTATAGAACTAAGTAGTATATTAAGAGTACGCTCGTAATAAGAAGAATAATAATAAAAAGTATTATACTTAGTATCTACTATATACTCTCTTAAAAATAAAGAATCTTATAATAAAATATAACGCTCGAATTTCTATTAATTCTATAAGAAGTTTAAAAAAAAATAGTTTATTACGTAAGTATCGGTTAAGAAAGTATTTACTCTATCGACTTTTAAGAAGTAAATTACTTCTATAAAAAAGCTAGATTATTCTCGAAAGAAAAATTATACTTCTCTACTATTAGTTCGAATAATTTTTAAGAATTCGACTTCGTCTACGTTATCGCTTACTTCGTTATTAAATCTTTCTATTATTCTTACTATTTCTACTACTTCTACTACTCGTTATAATATATAACTTCTTACTTAGTAAAACGTCTTTCGAGAAAGACTATTCTTGCTAAAAAAGGGTTTTTTTCTATAAAAATAGAATCTTACTATAGAAAGAGAAGGTCTATACTTATCTAAAGAAATTATTTTCTTTATCTTATTACGAAAAGAAAGAAAGTTTAATCTTATTTAAAGAAATAACTTTCTTTACTTTATTATAAGAAAGAAAGTTTATTTTATAAAAGAAAGATTATTCTTTATTTAAAGTAATAAGTTTCTTTTTATAGCGAGAATACTACTTTTCTTTCTTTCTTATTAATATATATTATAGATTATATTTAATAGATAGAAGCTAGTAACTAATAGCTTAGTATAGCTTAATATATATATTTAGATAATTAGATTCTATAGAAGAAGAATTATCTTTTTTTATCACTTAAGAAACGTCTTTCTTAGAAAGATTTCTAAGAATCTTATACTATTATAATAATTAAATTCTTACTTCTATATTAATATTTCTTAAATTTAATTATAAATTAACTTTTATTAAAGAGAGTTAAAAGTTTAAAGTAATTATAAAAGAATTTTTAATTTATTATAAAATCTTTTATATATATTATATTAATTATTTATTATAATATTATCTATATAATATTATTAATTTTTTTTATATAAATCTTTTAATATTTAAGAGATATAATATATTACGAGTTAAAAATAAAGCTTTTTTTAAGATTTTATTAATTATATAAATTCTAATATTTAAAATTCTTATTTAAATAGCTTTCGTAGGGGAGTGTAAGGGTCTAGCACCTCTCATTCAAGGGGCTCCTGCATCGCACTAGCGGCTTGGTAGGGTAGTCAGCATGGGTAACACACGAGAGGAAATTGTGTTGAGCAGGTGCTTGTTGTGTTCAAATCCATTCGCAGTTTGTCACGGATCTTCTTACTGATTTGAGGTTCGAGAGTGATTGAGGCTTTTATATACAGATTGTTGCAAACCCGAAGCTGTACGAAATATCGACGCTTGATCACTGGTAATCTGGTCTAACCCAGCAGCATCCTTCTTGGGTCCTCTATGTATTCTTTCACCTTTGAGCTGTCAGCTTCCTGTCTCAGCGTGGATATCAATAGCTTACCTTGACAAGAAAAACGACCGCTTCTCTGCCATCTAGCAGTCGGTGATCGTACGTAAGCGCGAGATACATCATCTGGTACTGGGTCAGTCGAATGTCGCTGAAGCTGGCAAGGAGAGTACGAACTGGGCGAATCTCCACCTTGCCATCAACCGCAACTGGCTTCTCCTTTATGGCGTGCAAACCGAGAACCGCTGAGTCATTATTAGTCAATCAAACGACCGAGTAACATGATGATGCACTGTACCAGTCTGCGGTAAGTTGATGATTGGTGTTCCCATCAACGAGCCGAAGACACCTCCCTGGACTCGATTCAGAAATAAGCGAAGAATTTCCTCACGTCAGTTACTCACATTGCTTATGGTAAACGTTCCCCCAGCCATATCCTCGATGGTCAACTTGTTATCACGGGCCTGGATATTGTCATCAACAACAACAGTCTCTACGAGCAAGCTCCTGGTTCATACCTTCTTTCCCAGCTCGGCAATTTCCTTTTCGATGCCAACCAAGTCCAGCGTCTCCGTATTACGCACCACAGGAGTTACTAGTCCCTTTTCAGTAGCTACGGCCACACTGATGTCAACGTAATCCCTGTAGACTATCGTGTCACCTCCACCTGGGCCCTCGATGGAGGCATTGACGGCGGGAATATCTCTCATCGCCAGAATGCAGGCACGGGAGAAAGCGCTCATGAAGCCAAGCTTAACACCCGTCTTCTTAAGCACTTCATCCTTGTATAGTTTTCGGAACTGCATAAGGTTCGACATGTCTACTTCATTGAACGTTGTCAGAGAAGCTGCGGTATTCTGAGATTGTTTTAAACGCTCGGAGATGCGCAAGCGCATGCGATTCATTTTTACCTTCACGTATGGTTAGTCGCTTCTGCTTTTCTCTGACCATGGCGAAGCTTACCCGACGTTCTTCCCGATTACCCAAGGGTGCCGTATCCTTTGACTTAGGCTCTGGCTTCTTCGACTCCTGAGGCTTGGGTGACGGCTCTTTGTGCTTGGAGGGTTCCTTTGGGGGCGGACTAGGCTTGCTCTCCTGCTTCGATGGTTCTGACTCCTTCTCAGAAGAGGGCGGAGGAGGCGGCGACTCTTGCTCTGATTTCCCCTCATCTTTCTGTGGCTCAGGATCAGATGAAGTTGACTGCTCGTCAGGCGCTGGCGCTTTCGGTTTCTGGCTTCCTTGTTGCTTCTCACCGCCCTTCGGAGGCCCCCCAAGCTCCAATTTTAGAAGATCTTGCCCCACTGTGACTGTGTCTTCCTCATTCGCAAGGAACTCCTTGATGGTACCTGGCTCGGGCGCATTTACGGCAACATCAATCTGATCGTGATGGTGTGTCAGTGAAGGGACAGCGCGCAGCCTAGGTGAACAACGTGTACCTTATCCGTTTCGATTGTTGCGATTTCTTCGTCCTGCTCCACATAGTCTCCAATCTCTGCACGGTACTTAGCGTTCCGTTGCTCAATTCTGAATAATCCAATAGACCAACGTTTTGACCATTGCTTGAGAGTGCCTTCCGATATAGATTCTGCCATCTCCGGAACCTTGACGACTTTATCCGCTAGCAAAGCGTCAGAGTATCCCTAAGCACCGGATTCCAGTAGACGCACCATAAAGCCGGGTCTGTGTCAAAGGGACATGCTTTCTTTGCTTCTGCATACTGGGTCTGACATCTTGTGAGCACCACCACAAAGTCTACCATTGCTAAAGTTTACCTAATTTCCCTCACGGAGGCCAAGGCAAGCTCAAGTCGAGGCTGCACATGATAATTGCAAGCACAGGAGGGCAAGACTCGGGTACCGATGGGAGCTCTTGCACTGCTGCGCGAAAGCAACGGCCCTCGCCGTAATGGTGTGGACGAAATCGACCCCCTCCAACATTGCCGACTCGCCATGTTGCGACAAGAGGGTCCCGTAGGACGAACGCGAAACGGGGGGGCCGCCAAAGAGAGGATATGACTTGGGGACTTCAAAGAAATGTTGGCGCTCAATGGCTCATGACCGTTGTATGTAGGCAAAGTCGTTAGGGAGCTTCGCGGGAGCGAGCTTATGACGGGAAGCGGAGATTTTGGGGTTGTGCCAAGCCTTGGCAAAACGCTCATTCTTTTCTAGGAGTACCGCACCAACACCCTGCCAGTACTTCCAGTTGACGTATACTATTAGGCGGACTTCGCCCGGACCGGAAAACCCTATTGGGTGCAAGTGAGTCGTTTGACATCCTGAGTCAGGATTCCACTGAAGTCCTTAGAGCACCAAGCCTCATCCCAAGCATTATGACGAGCAAGCAAGCAGTCACGTATGTTAAGGACCTCCCTGTGCTTCTTTCTCTTGCCCTGGGCTGACACTAAGCTCCAGCTCGCTATATCGGCGAAGCCTCAAGCTCGCTCTCGATTGGGCCGTCCATCGTTACATCTGGCGCGGTCAGGCGCAATACATCCGATCTCTTTTTGACGCCAATAGAGATGTGCGAGAGCCGCGTCAGCAGCGAGTAAGTCGCAAGAGGAATTTCAGTGCTATCTCCAAGACAATATCACTGACGGTACAATTAGGTACTGTTTCAGGAGACAGAGGCATTGCTGGAGAAATGGAAGCACCCCGACCCGTATAGACCCCCTACAGCTCCAGGCGGTACGTTGTTCTTGTTCTTTACAGTAGCTAGAACAGGTACTTACGATTCCTACAGGTTCAAAATACGAGAGAAACATTCCACCACCAATCCTAGACCGTATGTACATGAAAAGCACTGCCTTGCGGATCGCTGGCTCACATCACGTAGCTCCTCCTCATATGACTCTGTAGGAAATCCCCTCCAGGCCCGATAGGTAGGCCGAGGTGGCCATGGGCTTCTCGCGACAACCTCATCGTGGGAAGCAGTATTCATCATTTCCGTGTCTTCGAGGCGACTGGAAATTTAGGTTTCAAAAACTTTCTGAGGCTTTGAGAAATAGAGCATAAAGACTCGTCGATGTCTCCGTAATCATGTTCCAGACTTCTTTAAATCCGTCGCATCTTGTATTTCAAGGTCTTTGGCCTTCACTTCCGCATGTGTAAAAGGTGCAAGGAGAGTCCGAACACCAGGTGACGAACTGGGCAGTACAGTTGTTTCGAAAGACAAATCAACGCAGCTGCATTGCGGACTCTTGAAAAATAGAAACAGTGTCCTTTTGGTTTGGACCTTGTTCTGAGAGCAAGACAGGCGGTAATTATGATGAAAAGCGTCAAAAATGGTTGATTGTGTTTTGGATGGGTATGATCAGATTGATTCTCGGGTGTCTAGAATCATGTCGCTGCCGTGGACATAATGTACATCCCTAACGCACCACGATGCCATTGACCTGGCTTCCCCGAACCCCATTATCACGTGAAGCAAGTAAAAGAAACCATGAACCTGCGCGCCAAAGCAATGAGACCACCCTACAGCTCTTGAGAAGCCGTCTTCCCACCCTTAGTCGTCTTCTTGGGGAGGAGATCTGGAAGAAAGGAAGACATGTCAGTGTGATTACGTGGGGGGGCGGATCAAGGCAGCTTACTCTGGTGAATGTTGGGAAGCACACCGCCCTGGGCGATGGTGACGTGGCCGAGAAGCTTGTTCAATTCCTCGTCATTGCGAATGGCGAGCTGGAGATGGCGGGGGATGATACGGGTCTTCTTGTTGTCGCGGGCGGCGTTTCCAGCCAGTTCGAGGATCTCAGCAGCTAGGTACTCTAGGACCGCGGCGAGATAGACGGGTGCACCTGAAAGACCATGTTAGAATAAGAAAGACGCGTCCAACGCGACACTTTGGATTCATACCAGCACCAACACGCTGGGCGTAGTTGCCTTTCCTCAACAGGCGGTGAACACGGCCGACTGGGAATGCGAGACCAGCTTTGGATGAGCGACTGCAAGAGATGTACGTTAGCTGCAGTCCAGTATCCTTTGAGTGTGTGGAGCAGATATTGGGTTGCGCATGAAGTTTACTCGAAATGGAAGACGCGTCCGATGAGCACAACAAGACAGGAGAAGGATGAGGCTCACGATTGGGCGGTCTTGCTGCCGCTGGCCTTGCCTCCAGATTTACCTCCAGTCATTTTGATGGATTTTTGAGAGCGAAAGTTGAAGGTGGGTGATGTTTGGGTTGAGTTGGTGTTGGTGATGGATGCAGGCGTAAGTTCGATATGTAACGTGTGGATGGTTGAGTGAAAGAAGGAGGTTGTGAGGCGGATGGGGATTAAGTAGTAGCAGCGCAAGTGGGTTGATGTGGACGGGCAAGTAATGTTTGCTGAGTCATGTAAGAAAACCAACCAAAATGCGCGAAGTTTTGGGGGGGGGTTTGGTAGGTGAATGGTAAAAATCATATCACTAGGGCGGGGAAGTTTACTAGGGGAAGCCTAAAGTAAGTACCTTACAGAGTTACAGGCGCAAAATGTTATGGTCTCGGTTAGCCTTTTCGACTAGTATTGTTTGGAGGACGCGCCAAGCAAATCACGACTGCCGCCAGCGAGTATAAGTTCGCTCGCAGCCCCGTAACTTCTTCATCTTCTCTCATCAATCTCATCCAACAACGAAATTATCTTGCGCACCCATATCAGCCAAACTCATACATCACTCTTCAAACCAATTCTCCTTCCCAGTCCAAATCTCTAATTTATCAAATATGCCTCCCAAGGCTGCTGAAAAGAAGCCCTCCACCGGCGGAAAGGCACCTGCTGGCGGAAAAGCACCTGCCGAGAAGAAGGAGGCTGGCAAGAAGACCGCGGCGCCTACTGGCGACAAGAAGAAGCGCAACAAGACAAGAAAGGAGACCTACTCTTCCTACATCTACAAAGGTACGAATATCTCACTTTTCCCTGCTTTCTGATCGTGCCTACTCGATTACATTGTCGCTCCCACTGTGTTGGTTGGACCTAGCCGATTCACTTTTTGTTCTCATCTATTGCTCGAACATTACTGACGCGTCTTTTTTTTAGTGTTGAAGCAAGTCCACCCCGATACCGGTATCTCAAACCGTGCCATGTCCATCCTCAACTCCTTTGTCAACGGTAAGGGATCCAAGGTTTCGGTCCTCAATGACACATCTAATTTTGATCTACAGATATCTTCGAGCGCGTCGCTACCGAGGCATCCAAGCTAGCTGCATACAACAAGAAGTCCACCATTTCCTCCCGTGAGATTCAGACATCGTAAGTCAAGTCTAGACGTCATTGCCTGCCTTGGCCGCTTACTTTCCTGCAGCGTCCGACTCATCCTCCCTGGTGAACTCGCCAAGCACGCCGTGTCGGAAGGCACAAAGGCCGTCACTAAGTACTCGTCTTCCACCAAATAGGCTTCTCCACCGTGGTCGGAGCTTTGGCATGCGATATCTAAGGGGTTGAGCAGGAGGCGCGTCCTTTCTCGGTGTTCTTCGGGTTTTTTTCATAATGTGATACGGGATTGCTTGATCCGGAGCCAAAGGTTTGCTCTGTCTGCATAGGGGTTGAGACTTGGCTGTACAATACGATGACCAAGAGCAAACGATGAAATCTCCTGCCAAACCATATCTCTATTCACTGTGACGCTTTCTGATCTATTGAATCTGGAATCTCACACTTTGATGCTCGCTTCTCCACTCTTTGCAAGGCTTGTGATCTCTTAACAGGCGCATGAGGGCAACCTTGCGAGCAGCGCTCATTGCGGCTTGACCTTGCTGTACTAGTGACTACACTAAGACAGCACATGTCCGGTCCTTGGTGGTTGCACCCAAGGCATCTCCCTCTCGAGTGTTGGAAACGGCTTCGAATATTATCATTCCCCGGTCGACCAAAGTTGAATTTTCTTTGACGTTCTTGAATTTCAGAAGTGGCAAACACTATTCATATTACAACGTACGTCTACTTAATCCTGGGGACGCTCGACCATCTCGCCATCATCCCCTTCATCCTCATCGTCAAGAGTCTCCACATCATCTACTGCACTCTTCCTCACTGCACCATGCCCATGCCCATGCAACGACGGTTCTTCGTCAGCTACATGGACAACTGGTTTCCCTGACGCTGTGCCAATAGCCCTCCGCCAACTCTTCCAGTCCTCTTCATCTTTGATAAGGAACGCAATAAGCATACTTGGATCCATATCCTTGAGAGGAAGTCTGCGAAGTCTTCGAGTGTGGCAGGAGCCTATCTCTTCTTCGGTGAAGTCTGTGGGATTTTTGTGGAAAGGCAAAGCGGGACGCGTGACATGAGGATCTAGGTAGAAAAATTGATCTCCCTGAATGCCAAAGAAGTAGTGCGAGGACGAAGGACGACCACCTGCTATCCCCACAGACTGGGGCAGCTGTAGCGACGCTTTCAATGCTTCCCAGTAAGCTGGTGTCACTCGATCTATGCCCAGCCTGATTCCTACCAAGATGAGCGTTGGATTGAAGGTGCCGTCACTCGCTTTGGCAAGCTTGAAGAAGCTGTCCTCATAGACGTCCGCACCATCACCGTTCACGTAAACTTTCAGTCCTGTACCTTGATACTCATGTGACAACGCTCTGCAAATTGTCAGCACCGAGCATTGCAGGAGCGGCATTCACAGGACTTACTGTATACATCTTGCGGTGGCAGATGGTCCGAACCACTCCCCGGGATGCTTCCCGCAGGCCGAAGCACCGTGTTCAACAAACCGATGTATCGAAAAAGGAGCGTTAGGATCATCAGAAAATAAAGAGAGAAGTTGTCGCTCTTCGTCTTGCCTCCTTCCT